AGGCAACTTGAGGTAAGTTGTATTAATGTTGGATAAGTTTTAAAGTTAGAATTAAATTCAAACACAAAAAAGTTTTTAAATTCCTAGCTTTAAAGTGGATATTAGTGTGATTAACTTAAGTGATTGTTTATTTATTTATTTATTTTTTTTAAATAAGGGGCAGATATAATCATTTTTTTCTTCTTTCTGCACTTTTTTCACTCAATATTTTCTTTTTGATGATATTTTTTTTAATTTTGTTTCTTTTAAATGAATGAATAAATTAATTAAATTAAATTAAATGTTAAATGGCTTCAAACATCTGCTAAGTTCATGGCATAAACCAACAGACATGTTCCTGTTTTTAGTATTTTACATCACTTTATAATGTAGCTGTTAATTTTTTTATTATAATTTTCAAATCATATGTTTTTTTTTTTTTTTATGATTGTCTACTGTTGTACTGATAAATATCTCCTGGAGGGTAAACTATATCTTGGCTGCAAGTATCAAGCTGAGAAATCCTTCGTTTTCTACAACTGATAGTGATTGGTCATTAATTATGATGAAGTTTAGCAACTTCTCTGTAAACATTTGAGCTCCGTGGTTTCAGCGACGTCTTCTTCTTGTTCAATCCGAAGCAGGCAGCCTGATTTGGGGCAGCCGCGCTCAGTCTGTCCCTCCTCAGAGACGGGCAGACTGAGTGGGGCAGATTGGACGTGGCTGGCCAGGGTCAAGTCGCCTGTTGTAGGTTGAGCAAAGAGCAGCGCCCTGCTGAAGCCATGGAGCTTGAATGTCCATCGTAAAACTAACTTTAACGTGGTTTAATGTGGCGCTATGGCTCTGCAGACATTGCACATTGCTGTCTTGTTTTGTGGTGTTTAGTGTAAAATACATCCACACAGCGGACATGTTTAGATGAAAAGTTTGTTAGCCGTTAGCCACAGTGCTGCTAACTCAGTCCTCACGTTGTAGCTGGCTGCAAACTATGAACTGGATTTCCTGAATGTGAGGTGGGTCTTATTACTCTGGGTTCATGAAACAAGCTGCCGTTCAGGAAAT